CGGAGCGCGGCCCCGAACCCGCCCCGGGGCAGCGCGGCCGCCCGCTTCCAATTTGGCATCTCCATGAGCCCCCCTGCAGTGCAGGGTGATGCCCCGCGCTTGCTGGTTTGCTTCCTTTCCCTCGCCCTCCCATAGTCCCACAGCCCTCCATCCCAAATCCCAGCAACCCTCTCTCCCTTAATCCCTCCCTCCATCCCTTAATCCCACCCCACCTTGATCCAACCAGTCCTTTCACCTCTTAATCCTTCCATCCCTTAATCCCACTATCCTTCCCTCCCTTGTTCCCACCATCCCTCCATCCCTTAATCCCAATATTCCTTAATCTCTTCATCCCTTAATCCCATTACCCTTCTCTCCCTTAATCCCACCATCTATCCCTTAGTTCCAACATCCGTCTCTTAATCCCACCATCCCTCCATTCCTTAATCCCACCATTCCTCCCTCCATCCCATAATCCCACTATCCCTCTCTCCTTCCATCCTATGATACCTCCATCCCTTAAAACCTCAACTGCTTAGTCCCACCATTCCTTAAATCCACTACCTTTCCATTCCTTAATCCCACTATCCCTTAATCCTGCCATTGCTCCCTCTATCCCTTAATCCCACCATCCTTCCCTTCTTTAATCCCTCGCTCCCTTTATCCCTTAATCTCACCACCCCTCCATTCCTTAATCCCACCATCCCTCCCTCCTTCCATCCCTTAATCCCTCCATCCCACCACCCTTCCCTGCACCCCCAGGAACGGGTTCGGAACACAGTGAGCTCTGCTGTCCCTGGCACTCCAGCCAATTTTGGCCCTATGGGACAGAGCAAAGGGCAGATGGACGGACAGCAGCTGGGAACAGCCAGGCCGGGCTCCCCCGGGACCTGCGGGAGCCCCACGAAAATGTGCGGAGCGGCTGCCCCGGGACTCGCCCCTGTTTGTGGCGGCAACGGGGCTGCCCCCGGCCCCTCGCTTCCCGGCATCCGAGCCCTGGGCTTTTTGGGTTTGTGCAACCGGGAAGCGCCGCAGCCACAGCCCAGCCCACCCTGTCCAGCACCTCCCACCCCAGATCCAACTCCTGGTTCCTGGTTCCCGGCTCCAGCTGCCGGCTTCTCCCACCTGGGGGCTTTGCTGCCACCCGGGAGCCCAGCCGGCCCCTTGGCACCTTCCCCGCATGGCCAGTGCTCCTCCAGCCAAGCCACTTTGCAACAGCACATCTGGAAATAATCACCGAGAGAGAGTTCCCTCAGGGAGAGATTCCCCATCCCTGTCGTTTCCCATATGGAAATTCCTCCCTGTTTTCCTGGCAAGGAAGAACGTGGCTTGCAAGGAGATGCAGGGAGTTGGCAGGTGCTGCCCGGCCTGGCACCCTTGGGTGCAACCTGCTCCTGTGCTGTTCTGGCCCAGGATGGGGTTGGTTCCTGGGGGGTGGCAGAGCTGGAGAGGAGGGGGAAGCACCAGGAACGGTCTTTGCAGAGAGAAGGGGGCAGCACCACTTGTTCAGGAAGGGGAAAAGGGACAACCACCCTCTCAGAAGCTGGGCAGCAGGGAAAACCCCCTCCAGGAAGGGAGCAAAGCTGCAGGTGGAAGTCTCCAGCCACCTGTTCCCGGGATGGAGGGAGGACGAGAGGCTGGATGAAGAAGTGCCGGATCCCCCTCCCAGCTCTGCTCCGCAGCCTGTGATCATCCCGCCGAGCTGCCCATGCACCTTCCCGGCCAGCCTAAGGCCACAGCGATGCCAAAGCTCTCCCACCCGAGGGGTCTAAATTAGGTTATTTGGATCTGGAAGCAAACGGCTTCCAAAGGCAGTGTGCAGCTGCAGGAGCCCAGCAGTGACAGGATGGGACAGGACGGGCTGAGCAGCGGCCGCGACCCGGGGACACATTGCTCAGGAGAGCTGGAAACTAAGCTGTGAGATTCCTCAGTGAAAGTTTTTCCAGATCCTCCTTTGTCTTTGCGTTGTTTATTTATTCTGTGTGTGTGTGTGTGAGACTTGCAGCTTTTCCTACCGCTTGGGATTTTTCCTTGCCTGCCCCCGCAAGGCGCGAGCGGCGAGGAAGGGGCCGCCACCTCGGAAGCGTGACGAGAAGCAGTGATTCGTCATCCACGATGATGAAATGTTTTCAAAGCAGTTCCCCCAAAGAGCTGCAATTTGGTGAATGCACAGAAAAAAAATGATAAAAAAAAAGAGCTAAATAAAGGTTGGGGCATCTCTCCTCCTCACACTGTGTTTCCCCCCGCACTGGTGTCTTTGCTCCCCCTGTCCCGCTGCCTCCTTGGCCGGAGCCTTCAGCCAGCACCGGTTCCCTGGGAAGGCACGGCCGGGCTGGGAGATATTCCCCAAATCTCATTTCTTGGCCTGCTCTTCCCACGGCTGCTCCGTGTCGGGGGGTGCTCGGAGGCCACCAAGGGCAGCGTCCCCGCGGGGTTTCCAGCCTCCCCGCCCGCGTGGTGGCACCGCTCCAGCGGAGGGCTGGATTTTGTCACGGTCCCTCCTCCTCCTCCTCCGAGCTGCGGGTTCCTGCTGGCCCCGCCGCCCTTGTCCCCAGCCGCCACTTCCCGAGACCGCCGGGGGGGACCCGGCCAGGGGCAGGGGCCCCCGCGCCGCCGCTTT